TGCTCAAGACCACCTGTTCTGTGAACATTTAATCAGCAAGCCTAGACATTGGGTAAAAGCAATTAAAATAGTTTATATATTCAAGCTCTGGTGCCCATTTACCAAACAGCATCAAATTGTCTCTCAACAAGAAGTGAAGTTGCTTCTTAATTCATTACATATGGTCTCTGGGGAAACTTAGTTTATTATACTGTCCTGGTTTCCAAAATAACAAAGGCAAAAATGAGCATTTAATGAATGGTATTGGACTCTGACTAGTACTAAGTAGCACTACAGGGGAATTTGGTTCTTAAAAATAATTTATAGGGTTAACAACAGACTCAAGATTTTAATAAGATTAGTATCAGTTGCTTCTACATTATATGTGGTTACAATGACACTGATCAAGTCAAAAATCTGTATAACTTTCAACATGATTACAGCCCTCCACAAGCAAGGCTGTAAACAGGTTGAAAGTGATGTACAGAGGGGGGCAGGGCTTGGCAGAACACCGAAACTCTCCCTTGCATATTTGCTTACATGGAAGTAAAATGGTTGCCTGAATATTTCTATTATTGTAAGCTTACTAGCATGTGCCTCACATTTTCCATAGGTTCATCTTACTAAAAAATATTTTTCAAATTATTGAAGTAAATAGGAGTTTGTCAGAAAGCTGTAGCTACCATATAGTCACAATACTATAAATTAAGTGAACATTTATTTTCAACAGTGAAAGGAAGATTTCTTTCTGAGATTTAGTGTGACCTGCTTTTGAAAAAGACAGATTTAACAATTGAATTCTGTGTCTAACAATGTATTGGAAACATGTGAATATAACTGGATTAAGAAAACTGTGCAGCTCCTCTAATATGAAACCCCAGCCCCAGTTCAAAAACATCATTTTCCAAAATGGAATACAAAATGCTTTTGCAAGTCCCATTGTTCTGTCAGGCAATTAAGGTGCAGGAGGAAATATTTGTTGGTCAAGGGAAAATATTTGTTGGTCAACACAAGGGAACTGAGCTACTTCAGTTTTATCATGACTTCACTAGTCAAAAATAAATAGCAACTGTTTATTGTGATTATATTAACCATGTTGTGGAAGTAGCTGTGCTATAAGTCCTTACATGCAGTCTTATGCATGTTCCAGCAAGCATCCCACAGTTCCCACAATATTTATGTAACCAGTTGCTTAAGGGAAGTGCCTAAGTACTTTCTGTGATAGGCTGTAAATACAGCATTCACACTTTATTTCTCCTAAACAAAACATGTTCAGGAAGCTGATAACAAGCCCCAAGTTCTAGCTTCGACACTGAAAAGTTGTCTGCACAGCAGAGTTGCACAAACTGAACTTCATGGCTTAGCATTATTTCTAAACACAATAATCACTGAATGCCTTACTACTCCAAATGTCCTGTTGTATGTCAGATTTTAGTACACACTGCTGTTCAACTGATGCTGAAATTGACAAGGACACACATATGCACCATTATGCGTGAAAATGCATTTGGTTATGCTAAGCTACCACAAACTAGTATATTTTCAGCCCTGTTGCTATTACTTTGGTTAACTGAAAATCCAACTGTATTTAGGTATCACATGCAAGTATCTTGGCACCACAGAAAAAGATACGAGCCTCATATCCTAGTAACTAGTTTCTTCAGCTTATCCAAATGCTGGGAACAGAGAGATGCAACTATGCCGAACATCAAGCACTGCACCAAAACTAGCTCAGCATATTATATACACTGAGACTTGGGTGAGAACAGCACTGGGCAGATCAATAAACTTTGTGCACAAAAGGAAAAAGCAGCAGAACCTGCTCAGACCTTTTCCGTGTGCATGTTCAAGCTCTGTTACAAAGAGAAGAAGAACAGGATCAACAAGGGACAGAATATTTCACGGAATACCGTGCAAATATACAATTCTTCACACACCTGTTTCCTTTTTTCTACCCCTGCCAAAGGAGGAGCAAAAAAATAACTAAAATAGTTACTCAGAGGCACTGCACAAAGGGCTTTGCAGACATCAGCCCCTTTTGTCCAAGCCCCACATCTGATATCAAACATGCCAGGCATAGGGCAAACATGGCTTGGCCAAAACTGCCTCATGGACCAAGTGGGCAGGCTTGGCAAGCCAAATTAGGCCCATGGACCAAAGGTTCCCCATCCCTGATGCAGGCACATGAATTTATCTCCTCTCACGAAGGTATTTCCCCTTCTTTGTTTTTTGAACAAACTATGATGAGCATTTCATTTACAATAAAGCTAATGCTAACCACGGTAAACCCAAACCACAGTTTGCAACCATGATTTCAAAAAAATTAACTGATTTGTTGACAATAATTAAAATTGAAAATGCCACTTTAGTTGTAATGCTAACCACAATTAGCTTTGAAAGATAAAGAGATGAGGGAGGAATTAGGCAACTGGGCAGAGTTACATTTGCACTGGACCCATGTTTCAGGGATTAATTACTTGCACAAGTCACATTTCTAATTCTTTAACAGGCAGGTAAATATATTCAGTTGTTGGCATCTGTCTGTTTCAAGAGACAATGGGGTACACCTCTGGGGGTGAAGTCAAAACGCTGCTGTAGCAGCACCAGCGTGACCTTGGGGTACAAGCCTGGACAGTGTATATGGAAATCCTGGGCTGCCCAGACAACAATACCCTCTCGGCATAATGATGTGGTCCAAAGGAAAGCAGAGCAATATGTTTGACACCAGCTTGGCTGCAGGAGTTGCCAGAAGGTGTACAAGGCACAATCTAAGCGCCTTAAGGACTCCACTCCAGATTTCTTCTCCAGAAGATATCCCTCAAGGCAGAGGAAATTTAGGATCAGTTTTCCTTCTCCTAGATGGGATACCTTCCCATGTTGATGAGCCCCATCTGTCCCTCACTTCCCTCTACAGAACATACAGAAACCACCTTCTTGGCCATTGGGCCCGCTATTGGTTTCATCCACTCAATCTGCTGGAAAGTGTCTGCATACAGGAGACGTTCCTAAGTACCAAGGTTTTGAGATCCATTAGCTACCCTCACCTGGTTTAGCCAACTAGTCAAAGCCGTTACCTCAGGTATGGCTGCTGTTGCATGCTGAGCTGGCAGCGTCTAGGAGTCACTGGTGAGAGCTGAGTGCAGGGTGGGGACCAAAGGTGAACAAACTACTCCAAAAGAAGCATGATGAGGGGAGGTACTACCCCTCCCCTAAAACCCAGTACACACCATATATATTCAGTATCAAGTCAGCAACAGCATCATTCAACTTTCTTTTAGGAGCACTAAAACAGATGGTTATGGTTGTGCCAAATAATGGGAGACAAAGGATGCTTAGATTCTTATTTATCAACCTGAAGTTACAAGCTTCAATTTCTCAGAGATGGAAAGCAGCCATTGCTTTTTTCCCCCAGAACCCTAAGTATATATATCACAGCAGCACATGTGAGGGACATTTTCATCCTGCAATATTAATCTTGAAACCAAGTCTATAAACTAACCTCATGGCTGTATCAGCCTAATTTCTTTCAAGTTGCTTCCTCTTCCTCATCACCCTTTCCCCTGCTTTGTGAAAGCCTGTCATGTTTTTGTGACATTCTTGGTTGGTCCCAAAAAAGGTACCATAATGCTATATTAATAATCACATGTACATTTTTATCCCACTCCAAGAAGCACATACCACCTTCACATATTATCCTCATAACCACCTTGTGAGGTTAAGTTAAGCTGAGAGCAAGCTTTGTGGTTGAGCACGGGTTCTAATATGAGTCTCCTGGTCTATACTACATTAGCTGTCACTGGAGGAGGAGGGAATCAATAGATGAAACACAACGAAAAAAATCTCAATTAGCACAGAGCTTTCATTAGATTACACCTTCCTAGAAAACAAGTCTGCCATTTCATAAAATGTACTACATTTGATGTGTGAAGAAAGAAGACATTTGTGTTAAACACACCAGCACTTTTAAATAGTGACTTGCACCATTTTGGGATTTTTCCTCCTGCCATGGTGCAGTGAATAGCCTTCCTCCCAGGACATCATAGCCATTTTCCCCACTTATTTTGTCAGAGGTGTAAGATCTGTTCCACAACCATGACTCAGGCCCTTTCCAGTCAGCTTTAAGATAACTTGCTTTTAATACTCTTTCTCCCCCCCCCAAGCCCTTTCCAGCACTGAAAAAGAAAGTCACTCAGCTTGAATTATCATAACACAACACACATTAAGGCACAGTGTGATTAAGGACCATGGGCATCTAATAAAACGATGCTTCTCCGGCACACAAATCAGGGATGGCACCCATTTTGGCAGGGATGGAGCCTTTAGCTATATATCTTTCATGTACACAGTGAGTTTCCCTATACATGAGGGGAGTTTCCAAAACTTACTCCCCTCCCCACAAAAAAAACCCGAAGATCTGATTTGCTGATCAACTGCGATTAGAGTTCGTTGTCTCGACACAGTTTTTTGTTGTTATACTTTAAGATACCAACTTCTTTCAAAGTCTGTTAGCTTAACGAAAACGACGGTATAAAAATGTTTTATGTCCCCCAGTCCCCCCCAAAAAAAGTGTCACGGAGAGAGAAATAAGGAGCGTCTGATTTTACCGTTATGCTTCTGAGGGGAGCGAGAGGAAGAGGAGGAGGAGGAGAGGCTGTTGGACCACTTCGCTCACCCGCTGATGAAGGAGAAAGGCGAGCTTTCCCCGGCGGGTGTCCTCCCTCCCCTCCCCGCCTCCCCCGGGCACCTCTTCCGAGGCAAGGGAAGCGGGGAGCAGCGGAGGGAGCCCTGAAGAGGTGAAGCGGGAGGAACTGACGGGCCTTCAGTTCCCTCCTTCCCCGCCCCCCTCTAACTGACCGGCCAAAATTTCCGTTAAGGGTGGAAGGCGGGGGTTGTTTGTTTGTTTTTTCAAAAAAGGAAGAAAAAAGCCCGAACCGTTAAGCACGAGACTCAGGAGAGCGGTTGGCAGCTAACCTCAGGCGCGCGCGAGGCAAGAGGCGGCCGGCGCCTTTCTTCTTTTTTACCTGTCTGTGGGAGACGACGAGGCTCTTGTTGCCTTCCCCGTGGTATCGCCATTCATTCTCATCCATTTTCTCCGCTTCCATCCCCCAGCCAATGGCCCCTCCGTTTTGGTTTCCGGCAAGGCGAGCGGGCGGTCGTCGTCGTCGCCTCCTGCTGCTGCTTCTTGCCGCTTCTTCTCCCTCAGCTCCGGCCTCCGTTTTCACCCCGTCCCACTGCGCGCGCGGCCTCCCGCCCCCAAGTCCCTACACAGCGATGAGGCGCAGCCTCTCCGGACAACGCGCTCAACGAAGCCGACCACCTGGTTGTTTCCCAGCCCACACTAGCGTCCTCGCCCGGATCGGAACAGGAAGTTCCACCTTCCGCCTTGGGGCACGCGGAGGTCACCCACCCGAGAAAATAATATACTGTATAGGTTTGTATGGGGGGCGGGACTTCCTTAACCGGCCCTATTTAATGGGGGCATCAGCCTCAGCTCCTATTCTTCCCGCAAGGCTACGGCTGTAGCAAGCGCCATCTTTATTTCTGGCAAGTTCGGGAAGAAATAGGTTCGTCACCCTTGACCGGGAAGACCCTGAGCATGCGCAGGAGCCTTAGCGCGGTTCATAGGTGTGCGTGTATGATATGATAAGGAAGAGCGGCGGCAAGCTGGTATTGGCAGTTTGTTCAGAAGCCGCCGTCCCTTCTAAACCGGCTTCAGGAATTGACTGCAAAATGGTCGCCTCTTCTTATATATATATATATATTTAACCACATGGCCTACATCATAGGATTGTACGACAGACCCTGGCTTTGATTAGCATCGGAGGTAGACAGGAGTCTGCTCGCTATTGTATTCATTTATTTAAATATATCTTCTGCCCCCTACCCTGGAGGCTTGGAGTATGTAATAACAAGTTAAAAACGAAATTAAAATACCCAGTTGCACACTAGTTAAAATAATAATTTATTTAGTCATTTGCATATTTAAAAGGCTTCCAGCCCACATTTCAGAGGCCCCTGCCCTCACAAGGCAGTTTGGTACCGTCCAGGTAGGGCTGTGAAAGACCTGGTTGAAACCATGTTTCAGTTGCTGCTGGTCAGGGTAAGATAGTACTCAGCTAGATGGACAATGTTTCTGACTCTGGTATAGGGCAGCTTCCTGCGGTCCTGGCCAGTGTGGTGTAGTGGTTAAGAGCGGTAGTTTAATCTGGGGAACCGGGTTCGCGTTTCCGCTCCTCCACATGCAGCTGCTGGGTGACCTTGGGCCAGTCACACTTCTCTGAGGTCTCTCAGCCCCACTCACCTCACAGAGTGTTTGTTGTGGGGGAGGAAGGGAAAGGAGAATGTTGGCCGCTTTGAGACTCCTGAAGGGGAGTGAAAGGCGGGATATCAAATCCAAACTCTTCTTCTTCTTCTTACAGCATTTGGGAGCATATTAAGCAGCCTTAGGCAAAATCAGACATTTGGTCTATCAATATTGTTGACTCTAGCAGCAATGCTATGATGCCTTAAGTGAGATCTTTTCCCCAGCTGTGCTCTGTGGTGGCTGTTGCATACATACAACAATGGCATCACAGGATTTTGAGGTGGCAGAGTAGACTGTTATTGATTCAGGCTGCAGTTCCTGCACTGCAGAAGTGACGAACATTTTTGCATAAACACTCTGCAAATGAAAGACTACTACTTAGGAGAAAGGTTCTGCCACAGCCCCCCTCCCTGTTGTGCTAATGTGAACACTACTGAGCTAGATGAACCAATGCTCTGACTTTGTATAAGGCAGCTCTCTATGTTCCTAGTTTTCCTTTGGCATTGAGGTTTTCCATTTGGGAATTTTTTTTAAAAAAAAGGATTCCCCCACCTGCAGTATGAACCGTTTAAGGGAGGTGCAGTAGCTTAGTGACAGACTAAGCACTTTGCATGTAGAAAGTCCCATGTTCAGTCCTAGGCATATCCAGGAAGGGGTGAGAAAGCATTTGCTAAAACTAACAAGCACACAGCAAAGACATTGTGTGCTAAGAGTTAGATCCAAAAGAGGTAAGCACTTCCTACAGCCAGAACCAAGATAGGTAACTTACAGCTCAGGAGCTGAAACTTGGAGTGTTAAACCTGTAGAAGATTAGTTTTTAGCTTTGCTCTAGCAAGGCAGGTTTGAGGTGCCACGTAAACTGTAACCAGAAACCTAGATTAAATGCCATTTAATGGTAAATCCTGTCTTAACTAAACTTTTGTGTCATTAAGCATATGGATAGGGGTGGTTCAGTAGACACTGTGTACTTAGGCTTTCAATAAGGTCCCTTCCCAAAAATTCGTGAATAATAGTCATGGAATAAATAGAGATAACTGGTTAATGATCCATAAGAGGACAAGGAAGAGGAAACAGAGAGTGGGGATAAATGAACAGTTAGCACAATGGAGGAGTGTAAGCAGTGGTGTTCCCAAATGATCAGCTTTGGGACATGTGCCTTTAACATGTTCATAAATGACTTGAAGGCGAGCAATAAAGTGACCAGGCTTGATCATGCCACCAAATTGTGTAGGGTCGCAAAAACAAAAAAGGTTTGTGAAAACTTCCAAAAGAATAGTTTTATAGTTTTAACTTGTTGAAACACAGACCTTGGGCTAGAAACTACAGGTTTCTGGAGATGAGGTCAATTGTTTGTTCTAAGGAAAAATGTTACACAACTGCTGCCCTTTCCTAGATCTATAAATCCATGCATTGTGACTCACTTCCTGGAATGGAGAATAATGCAATGTAATGTTGAAACTTTGGAATACTGGTATGTCGTCATGCTTTTAGACCTGACTCCAGCAACGGCTTAGTAAATTATTTGCGTGAAGTTTGCATGCATACGAGTGTGAAATGTCCTGAAACGCGCATTTGTCAAAGACTTTAAATTATTTTAAGACTAATACTTTATTTATTTTGTCATTTATTTGAAAATATTTCCTTCTCACCCTTCCTCACAATGAGCCCAAAGCCAGGGCACAACAAAACAGAAATGAAATAAAATGTAACAGTAATGTAATTGCTGGGATAGCTCATTTGGTAGAGCGTGAGACTCTTAATTCTTTGAGCAAAAGATTCCCTTCCAACTGTACAATTCTTTGATTTAATTTGAATTACAGCACTTGGGAACTCCTCAGGAAATATTTTTAGTCCAATAGTTCTGTAATGGTAAGGATTAGCAACTATAAGCTCCCTAGTTGGAAGATGGAGTGGAGGTCTTGCCACTTGGGTCAAAAATCCCAGATGAAGGCATTGCAACTTGGAGAACTCAGCAAATGTAAAGCCTTGATTTCTTGAGGAACAGCCCTAATGGCTTCTGATAAGTGCCTAACCCTTGGCTCCCCAGACCAGTAGTTCCCTTCCTCCCTTGCCCTTGTTCCTTTCCACTCTCCTTTTATTCTAACATCCTCATGTTTATTCTAACATTCCCATGCCAAATCTCCTGTCTCTTGCAATTCTCTTTACTAGTTCTTTGCAGTGCCTAGCTTTTTGAATTACCTTCCCCCTACCTTCTCTTCTTAACTTCCCGCTATCTCTTACCTGGCTGCTCACCTTTCATTCAGCAACCCTCTCTAACATCCAGCTAGGATATATGTAAATGCCTTCTGGCTGGAATGTAGTCATGCCCCCCCCCCCATTTTCCAAAAGGAAACACAGACCCATGGTGCCTGGGTGCTTGGAGCTTGGGGTGTCTTTACGACATATGGTTTATTTACACATATATGCAACCTGGGCCTGTGATGGAGGGGCTCACAGCATTAACACTCCAAGAGAGTTCTGCTTCTCCCATAGCCACAGCAGCCTTGGATTTAAACAGGTAGCAGTTACAGCTCTTTCTCTGCTTCTAGCTTGCTGCATTTAACAGTGTCACCTTTTCCCCTGAGTTCATATCCCAGCCAACTGCAATCCTAAGTAACTGCTCTCCTTCAAAACTCTGGCCTTTATCCTGCTAAGAAACTCAGAGCTGGAGGAGGGTCCCCTCTCTCTGACTTTCCTAATGGCCCATTACCTTTCCTTTGTCTTTGGTTAATGGCTAATCTCCCGGACAATTCCTGAACACAGGAAGCTGTTTCTTCCCGTATTTTAATACTTCACTAAATCCAGCCTCTGTCACCAGGTGAATACTCCAAGCATTGATTAGATTCTGATACCTACTAGACCCAAGAATTTAAGGCACCCTGTAAATTCATAATATTATTATCATAACTCAATACACCAGATTCTCACTTATCATGAGGGAAAGCTAGCACAAAATTCCAAGCAGTTTGCACAGAAATGACACAGTCACCCATTTTGATCTACCATGACGTCTCTGCTGCACTTTTTAAATTTTGCTGTAGTTGTTGACTCTGCAGGTATAACATAGTCCAGATTGACATTGTTGGCAATATTGTTTGATAATTTAGTTTTACATATCCATAACATAATCTAAACCCGACTTGGCCAGATGCCTGAATGCCTTGATGAGGCAACCTTCAGAAAATGGCCTGTGCACTACAGCCGTTCATTATTTAAATGTTTTAAATATTAAATTTGGAAAAACTTAAGGCTAATTAAGAAAATGTGTTGCGTTTGCTGTTGTTGTTGTGTTTTGCAAGAGAGATGCAAGCCAGGAAAACATATTTTTTAAAAAAAATTAATGGCATAAAGGAAGCCAGTGTATTCTTTCTTTGTTTTGTAGTTGAGGGAGAATAATTTAATGCAGTGAATGGTGTTTGTGTCACGAACTAAGGCTGGGTATTTTTGGCACCACATCAATGACTTGTATGTTTCTATTTTTAAAAGAGCTGATTGTTTCCAAAGAATGCTGGACCCCTTGGGTTATATTACAGAATGGGCTAATAAAACCTGCAGTCAGCTGATGTAATGTGCCACTTTGCGATTTAGTCTTAAATGGAATGGCTCCAAAAGGTTCGGGAATGTACAGTTCTGATCACATTGCTGCTCAAGGGACACCATGTATCTAGAAATGAGATTTATTGAATATTACAGTCAGAACACTCCCAAAGTGACTAATATGAATTAAGGCTCTGAAATATAAATGCATCTGTATAAATCCTAATGCTGCCAATGACATTTGCACACACAATAATCTTTCTTGGACTGAAGGTGTCTCTTTACATTCACAGTAGTCTTCAATCAGCTGAGCAGGAGACCAGCACAATGCTTTGAAATGTGAGTCAGGATTTTCAGAGCTGTGTTTCCGGGGAATTTAGTGTTGTTACCCATAAACCAGCAGTCCTGCCTACTTCCCGAAATAGTAAAAAGCAAAATGATTGGGTCAGTTTCCTAGTGAGAAGAGAGCCTTTTGGTTTTCTTGTTGTACGTCCTCCCACTACCAAAAGAGGTTTGGTCATTCCCTTCCTAAGTGGAACTGTCGCTGATTACTATTAGGCAGGCAACAAAACAAATAAAATAATATTATAAAGACAGATGAAAGCAGGAAATTTAATTCTGAGACTGAGAAAGAGATCTTCAGAAAGATGCTTAAACCTTAGGAATTTAG